CCGGGGGCGGGTCCGCGGAGGAGCCGGCCCCCAGGAGGAGCCGAGCGCTGGCGGCCGGCTGGGGAGGCGTACATCCGGAGGCCGGCCCGCGCCGCATAAAGCCACCTCGGCGCCGTAGTCTTCCAGCGGTGGTCGGGGCTCCTTCTGGCAGCAGGACTCCGTCCCAGATGCCCGAGAGCGGCCATGGGCCCGCCGCACTGGTGGGACCAGCTGCGGGCGGGCAGCTCAGAGGTGGACTGGTGCGAGGACAACTACACTATCGTGCCTGCCATCGCCGAGTTCTACAACACGGTGCGCGGTGCCGGCGGGAGGGACTGTCCCCGCACTGCTCCTGGCGACGTGGGGGGTGGGGGAGTGGCGGGTAGGGGGCGAGGGGGGGTGTTCTCTCTCCGGGGTCCCGAGCCGATCCCCGCCCGCTCTCCGCGCTCCCCTCCGCCCCCCATCTGCCCGCTTCGGTGCCGATCCCGGACATCTGGGCTCATCCTCCTCCTGTCATTTCCTTCCTAAGGCCCTATTGTCTTGTTTGGTCGCCACGCCTCCTTGAGTCCGGGGTCCGGCCAGCCGGTTCCCCGAGTCTGGGCAGTTGGGGAAAGGGGTGGAGGCGGCGAACCCGCCAGGACAACTCCCCGTCTCCCCTAGGATCGGTGGGTCGTGACGCACTTGGGTCGCATTGTGCGCTTGTGCCCTGGACACCTGCTCACCGCGCCCCGGGACAGGGGCGGACCCGCGGCAGGTTCGGGGGCCGCTCCGCTCGTGCCGGGCCCTTCTACCCGGCTGGCCGGCCGAGTGCGCCAGTCCTGCTGCTGGCTTGTGGGCTTCGGAGTTGTTTCCGAGCCGAATCCAGTTCATCACGCCTCTGTTTGTGTTTTCTTGCCTTTCCCCGGCGGCCTTGCTCCAGCCCCCACGCCCACCTCCCCTCCCCCTAGCCCCAGGCCAATGTTTTCCCCGCAGTCCTGGAGTCTGGGCCGGGGGAAGGAAGTTAGGGACTAGTCCTGGGCGCGCGTACTCTCGGGACCTGTTTTGGTGCCTGGAATGGACAGCTGCTACGCGGCCAGGGCAGAATCCTGACTGTTTTTAGACTTTGTGCGAGAGGAAATGCTCCTTTTTTCCCGCTGGCTCCTGGGTCAGCGTTCCGGTGCGAATGCAAAACTTTGCGCGCTCATTTCGGCAATGATCTCTTCCCTACCCTAACACTGCAAACAGGAACTCCTCTGGTCGGAGAGTCACTGTGAATGGGAGGCTGTTATTTAAGCTTTCTCCGTTGGATTTGCCGGAGAGGACTACGCGGCCTGGGGGAGGCGTTTGTTGTCTGAGACGATCTTAGCTCTAGCCGGGAGCTGCCACTCAAAAGATGGACAGACTGGGCAGGGGCAAGGGATAGCAGGCAGGCTAGAAATCCAGAGATCTTGACTGCCCGGCCCCCCTCTACCCTCTACCCCGCCCTCCAGTGCTGAAGTTCATGCTGCCCCCCCCTCCCCCGCCCCCTCCCCGCCCCGCCCCTCCTCCTCTGTCCCTCCTGCCTCTTTATGACCAGGTTAGTTCCTCACAGAACCCTGGCTCTCTGTGGGGTGTAGTTAGCGTAGGCGGCCTCACCTATTGTACAATGTCTTGTAGAAGATACTCAGGTACAGACAGGTGCGCCCTGGATCTTTTAAGCAAGAAGAAACACCAGCCATACCTCAGTTTCTCTTTCTCTAAGTGGAGAATTCAAGCAACTGCTGAGGATCTCACCAGCGTTGAACCTTGGGTGTTGTGAATAGGTTTACAAAGAGCCCGGGTGTCACCGTGGGCTATGTGTTGGGCTGCTTTCTGCAAGGTCAGTTGTTCAAAACCACCAAGCCGCTCCTTAGGAGAAAGATGAGGCGGTGTGCTCCCATAAAGATCAAACAGCCTTGGAAGCCCACAGGGCAGTTCTAATCTGTCCTATAGGCACACTGAGTCGAATGGACTCAGTGGCAGTGTGTTTTATTTTGTAACACATGGTGACATCATGAGTTGGAATCTACTTGATTGCTACACCACCACCAATATGTACTAATTTAAAGTTTGGCAATTGAAACTCACCCAGTGGAACCAAGGAGGAAAAACCCGGTGTTCTACTTCTGTAAAGATTACGGCCAAGAAAATGATAGGGGGCAATTCTACTCTGAGACACATGGAATTGTTCCATGAGCTGGTGGGCCTGGTTTTGATTTCATCAGTTAAGAAAGGGGGACAGATTGGTGACAGACTCTCACCACCCCCAGAAGGAGTCTGAGACCTGCAGAGAAAGTCAGGCCTGGTCACGTGGGCAAAAAAGGTTGGTGTGAGGCTACCGCGAGGCTGCCATGGAGTCAAGTTCAACTTATAGCAGCCTTCTAAGAGCGAGAACTGCCCCATGGGATTCCAAGACTGTAACCCTTTAAGGGAGTAGAAAGCCATCTCTGTCTCCCATGAGGAGAGAGTTTGCTTTCTCTTAACTTTTAGCTTTTCCCACAGGAACTGCTGTGTGGTGTGAGCCAAGGTCTGCTTTAGAAATGAATGGCTAATCCCCAGCTGCAGTGATCAGTCTGACAAACCTCACTTACCCTCGTCATCGGCAGAAACTTTGGTTTCTGCCGCAGCCAACTTTGCTGCGACCAAGCAGAGCGTCGAAGGGTCTCAGAGAAATAGGTGCTCAGCTAACATGGCTGAATGTAGGGCCAGAGAGTTTCACAAAAGAAAAATGTCCTCCAGGTCTGTTCCCAGCACCCTAGTTCTCTTCTGATGCTTATCTCAAAACAGTCTGTGCTTATCTCACTGCTGCGGGGAGGAAGGCAGGGCACTGCTGCTGGGAACAGACTGGTCAGTAAATCCTCCTGAGGAGGCACCCTAATTATCCACTTTGTAAGAAGCCAGTCATCATGATCAAATTTGAGGAAAACAGGAAAGAACTGAAGATGTTAAATCTGGAGGAAAAAAAAAAACTGCAAAGGGTATGTAGAACCTTCTTAATGAGGCTTAGGGATGTCACGTGGCTACTACAATTTCAGTTACTAAGACCTGCTGCGGCTGCCCAGTCATTTATCTCCCTCTCCTGGAGTTGAGCCCCCTCTAAGGAGCCCTGGTGGCGTGTTGGGTTGCGATCTGCATGGTGCACAGTTCGAAACCACCAGCAGCTCGTGGGAGAAAGACCGGGCTTTCTATTCCTGTGTGCAGTTACAGTCCCAGAGACCCAGAGGGTGCCACTGTGAGTTGGCATCGACCGCGTGGCAGTGAGTTTGAGGTTTTTGTTTGTTGGGCTAACGAGGCTGTAGAGCTTGACGGAAGCCAACTCTCAGAGAGTGACTGCTGGGTTGGTCAGCTGCTGAACCTCTTGGTCCACAGCTGGACACTTAGCCACTCCACTGCACTGCCTCCAGCCCCAAAGAAACCAACCCCCCTGCCGCATCCAGTTGATTTCCACTCCCGCTGACCCTCCCGAGCATTTCTCAGAGGCTCTGTAAATCAGGACAGAAACCGACTGAACCACAGATCCTGTGGTCAGCAGCCCCAGGCTTACCTGACAGTGCCACCAGGGCTCCTCCAGTCACCACCCACCACAGGACAACTCACAGCAGCTCTTCAGAACCGGGTGGAACTGCCCTCTGTGAGTTTCCAAGACCGGAACTTAAAATCACTGCGGCTTCCCCGGGATGCGGAGGCCATGGTGGCTCAGCAGTCCACATCTTGCCTTCTGGGGGTGGGGGTGGGGGTGGGGGGTGAGGGGTGGGAGGTGGAGCTCTAGGTTGGATTCCCGGCCGTGCATTTATTTGACTGCTTCTGCCAGTGGAGGCTTTCTTGTTGCTACTCTGATGCTAAGCAGAGGTCAATGGTGCGTCTAGACCAGTGGTTCTCAACCTGTGGGTCGAGACCCCTTTGGGGGGGTCGAACGACCCTCTCACAGGGGTTGCCTAAGACCATCGGGAAACACATATTTCCGATGGTCTTAGGAACCAAGACACCGCTTCTCTATCTGTCTCCACCCACATGCAGCTACACCCACATACTAATACCCAGTGTGAAGACTGTTACCCATGCTACACCATGCTTCAAGACATAACTTCATTTATTTGTCATTAGAGATACATATTTCACAATATATAATAACATATTGTTTTTGTGATTCATCACTATGCTTTAATGATGTTCAATTTGTAACAATGAAAATGGATCCTGCATATCAGACGATTCATAACAGTAGCAAATGACAGTTATGAAGTAGCAATGAAAATCATGTTATGGCTGGGGGTCCCCACCACATGAGGAACTGTGAAAGGGTCACAGCCTGAGGAAGGTTGGGAACCGCTGTTCTAGACTGAAATGAACTTGGAGAAGACCTGTGGATCCACTTTCAAACACTGGCCAGTTGGGAAGGAACCCTATGGATCTGAACAGCTCAACCCCCAACTGATCATGGGCCTGTTCCTTGGGGGGGGGGGGGTTGCCATGAGTCATATGCATACATATCACATACATCTTGTTCTGGTTTTTAATCCAATTTGGATTCTACTTTACAAAACCATGTGCACACTGCTCTTTTTCCACTTAGTGTATCTGGGAGGTTATTTCCATACCAGTGCCTAGAGTGCTTGCTTATGCTTTATCATGTCTGTACAGTTTCCCATTGAAGGGATGGAGCATCATTTCTGTGCTCAGTCATTTCTTGACTGATGGGCCTTTAGGGCATCCATTTCCATTGGTTTTGATCGTCTTCACTTTGCCTTTCTGAACGATGTTGCAATGAGCCCCCTCCCACCGCATCTGGCAGCACTCCTGTTAGTGGTAGCCCTAGATGAGCAATGGCTGAGACAAGGAGGTATCTACCAGAGAGCATGTGCTCAGTGACCCTCCCACAATGTCTGGGTCCAGAGAGCAGTTTGCTTTTGAGCCCCGCCGTCCACCTCTGGTGCCTCAAATCATGTCATTCTTGTTTGCTTCAGCCAAGTCACATATCTCTTCCAAGAACTCTGCGTGTCCCTTGACAGTATTTTTGCCTGTGCACATGTTGTACTGTTTTTCTACAGGGAACTTTGTTGATTCATGTTTCTTCTCTTGAGTGTAAAGGTCACCTTAAGGAAAGGGGCCCCTGTGGCTCAGTAGGTTAAGTGTCAGGCTGCGAACCAAAAGGCCAGTGAGTGGTTTCTTGGGAGAAAGAAGAAGCTGTCTGCGCCCACAAACTGAGAAACCCTAAAGCTACTCAATTATGTCCAGTATGACTACTATGAGCTGACATCGCTCACCAGCAGTGGGTTAGTTAGCCAGCTAGTTAGCAGTGACAATTCATTAGTTCATGCAGAGGAGACCTCGTGAGTGTGGACCCTGCGTTTTTAACCACTGGACTTGGCCTATGGCGACTGCTGGGCAGTGACACGGGACTGGAAGGAAGTCAACTGGTGCTAAAAAAACCAATCTTGAAGCAAAACATACGTTTGGCCTGTTACCCTCCCGCCCCCCCTTCCTCAAGTGAATGAAAGATCTCTTTTTATATACTAATGTCCACATTCCACTCTCTGTAGATTGTAATTCCCTCTCTATTATACATTTATTTTGTGTGTTTGTAAACAATTATTGCATGTGTATGCATACACACTATATGAGTATATACAGATTTATGTCTTTTATACACACATATGCATGTGTATATATATATTATGCTCATGCATATGATATGTGTGTATATCTATTTACATGTGTATGGATGTGTGTGTATTTTTTCACTGCTGACTGAATGGTCGACAGTTCAAACCCACTAACTGCTCAGTGGGAGAAAGAGGAAGGTGGTTCGCAACCGCAGTCCGTCTGTGGCTTTGTCAGTGCGTCTCACCATCTGTCTGGGAGGCTGTGAGATCAGATGCATGAGGATGAGCCTGCAATCTGCTCAGGAGATGATGTGGGAGCAAATTACTTAGGGATTCATCGAATGAGGAACTGTCTAAGGAAATCATTTTAATGAATTTTAAAATTGTGGTTTCCTTTTTCTTCTTTTTTTAAACTGTGGTTTCCTTTTAATAATAATAAAAAATCTGTTCATCAGCCAAGAAACAGGCCAATTCTCCAAAGGATGCTTGAATAATAGGTTTTAAAAATGATCCGCGGGCTGGGCCCATGTTCATCTTTAGTGACCCACACAATCTGAGGGCAAGTTTCACTTCTCTGCAGAGACAGGGCCCAGGGTCTCTCTTCACCACAGCTTGGTGGCTTTCCTTTCTCTCAAAGTTCGTTCCCTTTTTTTGTCTCGAGTGCTGGTGCTCTCTGACGTGATCTTTTCCTTTTCATATATTGGTGTCACTCGAAGGGGTAATGGAGGTCCGGAGGCTGGGGGTGTGCAGATGCAAGAGTGCAGTTTCTATGTTATTTGAGAGTACAGGCTGGCCTAGAGCCATGCTGGCAGAGTGGTCACACATCGGGTTGCTAGACACTGCAAGGGTAGCAGTTCGAAACCATCAAGCTGGTCTTCAGGAGAAAGACAAAGCTTTCTACTCTCACAAAGAGTTAGTCTCAGAAACACAGGTGCTCGCTATGAGTGAGAATTGACTCAATGACAGTGTGTTTTTGTGGGGGGTTTTGAGGCTAAACTGGCACTTTCAAATCAAGTTCTCTGACATGTGCATTTAAAAAGAAGGTTTGGAGTGTAGCATAATTGCACTGCAGGTGTAATAAACTACTTTATGCTTCTGCAAATGGTGTGTAAATGTGTTAAAAGTGCTTAGTGTATAGACTGCTGGTGGTCATAGAAACCACGAGGGGCATGTGTGGAGCAGGTTGGCAGTAGATCATTGCACTTGGCCACAGCAAGGGAGATTGGGAGGACTCGAGGCAAGGGAGATGTACTTGGGGCAACAAGCAAGCTGCGCCTTATTCATTGGCATGGTGGGTGGGACTATAAATTAGCCATCCTTCCACGGGGGTGGGGTGGGGTGGCGTGGCATACTATACTGCCACCTGCAACCGTGTCACGTGAGGTACGTCTGTATCCGCAGGGGTTTAAAAGGGTGCAGGGCCTGTTGAATGACAAAGAGAAGTGGAAGAAGAACAATGTTGCTTTATGTGTGTTTTCTATGGATATATATAGATAGATAGATAGATAGATAGATAGATAAACATCACTCCCCAACAACAACAACAAACAGTTATTTTTAGTTGATTCTGATTCATGAACCTCACCCTTTAATTAATTAACTAACTAATTAATTAGTGAGTTATGGCCTCACTCTTTGATTCGGCTCTGGGTCTCCACACACCTCAGTTCTATTCGCTTTCTGTATCAGCAGCCCCCATTCCACAGTCAGAACAGAGGCGTTGGCCCGTCCTCGAAACTGAAGAATGAAGCTACCTCATTAGAAAGCCGGCCAGAAACTTTGTTTTTTACCCTAAAACCCAGCTTTGATGAAGGCGGCAAACCTGAGCGCGGACAGCCAGGGGGGCAATTAGGAGCCGTCGCCTCCGTGCAGATCAGGAGAAAGAGTAGCCCTGCTGGAGAAACAGCGCTGGGGAGGGAACAGGACTGGCCGTCCTGCTCCTGCCTGAAGCTATTGATGCTCACATTAGGCAGTACCAGCTCTACCATGAACACCATGTGTGCAGACGACTTAGGCTGCGGCCCATTTAGTCTGTGCCGGCGAAGAGGACTTGGCTCCCTTTCCTTCCGAAGGAACGTGGGGCAGCCTTCACAGACTGCAGGGGTTTTTTGGTTTTTCTTTTAGCTGCTTCTATGATCAAAGAATAAGCCTGATAGCACAACTGTTAAGTGCTCGGCTGCTCATGGAAAGCTCAAGGGGCTGAGCCCATTTCCCCCGCCTCACTCCTTCCAGGCGCGCATACCTCCATGGTAGAGAGAAGGGGCTTTCCGTGGTGAGGAGTCTGCTCTCTCGAAGCAGGTGTACGTGTCTAAGAAAGGTGTAGGGCTCTCTCTGTGCCCGTGTGCAGAGGACACACCTGAGAGAAGCTGCTTTCCTTTGGCCTGGATTTTCACTTAATCTGCATCTTTTCATTTTGCATTTGTCCCCCCTCCCCCTCCCCCCCTCCAGATCAGCAACTTCTTGTTTTTCGTTTTGCCGCCGATCTGCATGTGCTTGTTTCGGCAGTACGCCACCTGCTTCAACAGCGGCATCTACTTGATCTGGACGCTTTTGGTCGTCGTGGGTAAGTGAGCCGGCGTGTGAGCCTGGGCTGGGAGGGAGGAAATGGAATTGCACACACTTCCTGTCGCCTTTGAATGTTGATATTCCTCTAGACCAAAGTTCCTCCGGCGCCCTGGCAACATTTTGTTGTTCTTGGACTTGCTTGCGGGCAGAAGAAAGACAGTGTTGGAAGGGGCCTGGCTGCCCAGTGCGGCTGTGGCTAATCCCTTGGTCGCATTTGAGCATCCCTGTCTGCAGTAGCGCCTGGTGTTGAGCCAGTATGCTTTTCTGAGAAAGCCATGCGAAACGATTGGACCCTGGTGCCCCTGTTGTTTCTCATGGACGGAAATAAACACATCCTAGAGGTTTGGTCCTTCGATGTCCTGTGAACCCCGTGTGTGATTTCCATTTCCTCCTGGTTGGGAATTCCTAAGCGCAGGAGAATGTTGTCTTTTTATGGACTGACTGCTTACTTTCGTGAGGACTGTGAATGGAGCCAGCGTGTTTCATTGAAGTTCTGGTATTTGGGCCCTACTTGAAAGCATCTTTCTAGTCTTGGAGTCTGTGTGCTTGGGCGGTGTGAGTTTCTTCCTTCAGTTTCTATTTTCAGAGAGAGAGAGAGAGAGAGAGAGAGAGAGATCTGGTGGTCAGGCTAGCAGGGCTGTCCTTAAGCACTGTATTGAATGTGTGAACCTCTTCTTCCGCTGTGACCTTGTTGATTGGTTTGTCATTCATTCTAGGAATTGGATCTGTCTACTTCCATGCAACCCTCAGCTTCCTGGGCCAGATGCTTGACGAACTAGCTATTCTCTGGGTTTTGATGTGCGCTCTGGCCATGTGGTTCCCCAGGAGGTATCTACCAAAGATCTTTCGGAATGACAGGTAAGCTCGTGCTACCAATTCTTTGCACTGACTGGCAACAGCAGTGCCTGATATGTGGTGCTCATGTGAAGGAAAACAGCAGTGCTTGAGCTCAGCCTAGGAATGAGCGTTCAGTATCCACAGACTGGTTACGAGCTGACAGTGTCCACGAACTCCCTGACCACAGAAGGACTTTGCATGCGCCTGGGGAAGAATTTATATGGCATAAAGGGTTCCAAAGTAAAACATCTCCTTTTAAACATTTTGGAAATAATTCGGGGAATGTGGTTGGGTTCAAAGATCTTCTTTAGTTTCCTGTTAGAACATTGATTTGAATCCATCGGTACCAGTTTGATGTGCCTACACACACATAAACACAACTCCACGCTGGACGCCTGGAATTGCAGGAAAGGAACATTTCTGTGTCCTTGTGTTATGGCCCTATGGTTATTAATTCATCCAGTAAAAGCATTTTGAACATATACTGTGTACCTCTGCACTTATCTGTTACGACTAGCCAGCTGGCTTGTCCTAAATGCTTGGTGACCCTGTGTATGATGCGGCTCAACTCTGCACCCTCTTCGTGGTCCTCGGTATGTTTATAGGGGTTTCTCTAAGCACTGGGCTATAGCAGTAAATAAACTTCAGAGCTTCTGAAGTCAGGGGAGTTACAATTCCACAAACACAAGTCAATAAAAAAATATTAGGGAGTGATACGTGTGGAGCTGCAATGTGAGGGGATGAGTACTGGTTATATTTTGAGTGAAAGCAATGCAGGCAGAGAGAATGGCATGTGCAAAGGCCCTGAGACAGACGTGTAGTGGGCATCTGTGAAGCATTGCAAGGAAACCTGAGTGGCTGAATGTGAGCACAGAGAGAGTTGTGAGGGAGGAGAAAGGAGAGGCAGGTGGAGCCAGCACACAGGGCTCATAAAGGTGTTGGGGTTTATCCTCAATGCTATGGGAACCTTTGCTGAATTTTGGCACAGGGTGACATCACCTAAATAGTGTTATGATTGCCATTGTTAGTGGACCATCGTTGACAAAAGTGGAGGCAGGAAGACCCATTAATAAATCATAGTAATTGTCACAACAAGAGGGGATGATGCTTGGACAGGGTGACAGCAGGGGAACGGCTGACTTTGTGATAATTTTGAGAATAATTATTAAGGGTGGTGGGTAGACTAGAGAAAACAAATCCACAGAAACATATATGCATAAGAGAGTTTTATATAAAGGGTGAGTGTACAATAAGAAAGCATCCCAACCCAGTGCTGTCCAAGCCCATAAGTCCAACATTAGCCCATATGTCCGACACTGATCTACAAAGTCCTCCTCAAACTCACAAAACACACACAACGACGCCGACTGCAGGAGGAAAGCTAAATCAGTGAACGTGTGAGCATCTCAGTGTTGGCAGGGGTTTCCACACTGCTGCTCCAGCACCCAGGGCTGCATTTGGGGTAGATCCATGTGGCTTCTCCTTGGGGATGTCTTGCAAGAAGTGAGCCTTGTCAGCTGAGGCAGAGAACTAGCTAAGGCAGCTGCACCCTGGTCCGACCATCAGAGAACAAGGGACAAGAAAGGCGAGGCTCGCTGAGCCATTTATCTCTCCGCTCTTCAGTTAAACTACCTTTCTATGAATCCCACATGTGTTCATCAGCCAGGTTGGCACAATAAACCTTAATTATCACAGGTGGTTTCACAGTTTTTGCCCCGAGCAATTGGGTGGCTTGTGGCCCCTCAATGAGAAGACGACATCAAGATAATTCGGGACAAGATTGACATTGTCAAGGGCTTCATTTTATTTGGATCCATGACCAGCACTCTGGAAGCAGCAGTCAAGAAATCGAATGCTGCTTTAGATGGAACGAATCTGCTGCACCGACCTCTTTAAAGGGTTAAAAAGCAAAGATTTTGCTCTTTGAGGACTAGAGTGTGCACCTGGCCCAAGTCATGGTATTTCCAAGGGCCTCCTATGCGTGTGAATACTGGGGAATGAAGAAGGAAGACAGAAGAGGGATTGATGCATTTGAGTGGTGGTGCTGGAGAAGCATAATGAAAGTACAATGGACTGCTGGAAGAGCAAACCCAGCTGTTCTGGAAGATGTACAGCCAGAATGCTCTTTAGAATTGAGGATGATGTGTTAGGCCAGATTGACCAGACACAAATTCATTGACCCTCATACATGTATAAGAAGGAGCTTTATATCAAGGAGTAATGGGATATCATGAAAACTGCCCAGCCCAGTCTAAATCAAGTCCATGAGTCTGGTACTAGTCCAGAAATCCCTCTTTAGGCTCACGAAGCCACTTGTAATGATGCAGGAAGATCACAGGCCGGTGGGTGCAGTCTTGTGGATCCAATGGCAGTGTTAGGGCTCATGCAGGCCTTAGCGTGGCTCTGGCAGCTCTCCGAGTGACTCAACAGCAGGAAGGTGAAGGCAGAGTGAGTGAGTGTGTGGCCCACCTCCGGGGAGAAAGAGGAAGAGGCCGGTCTTGGAGAGCCATTGATCTCAGTCACCCTCCAATTAAACTGTGGCCTGATTGAAAGGCCGAACTCCACCCACATGGTCCTAGGGGACCCAGGTTGACACAAAAACCTAACTATCACAGGTGAAGAGACTCAAGAGAGGGATTGACACATCACCTGTAACGGTGGACGCCAGCAGACACAATTAAGACTGAGCAGGGCCTCCTTCTGCTGTACAGAGTTGGAGCCAACTGAAGGGCACCTAACGGCAACAAGAATAAATGGGAAGAAGAGCAGGGAACATCAGGCAAGTGGGAGTGTGTTACAAGTTACAAGTATTGCATCTGCATGTGGTAAGGATGAAGTGGCCATTATCTTTGTATTGTTGTGACCTGGTGATCAACTTTCAAAAGTTCAAAGCCATTGAAAATCCTACAGAGAACAAGTCTACCTTCATGCTCAGAGGGACTCCATAATTCAGGTGGGACTCAACAGCAAATTTTTTGTTTTTTTAACTTGTTCAGAATTTTCTTGCCCCCAAAAGAAATCGAGTGAGGATTGCTAGAATAATCTGAAGGACTAGAGGAGAGCCAACCTCACCAATGTGAGAAACATTCCCAGAACATATAACCTGCATATTTTTCTTTAGGACACCATGATCTGTGACAAAGTAGAATTGGGTAAAGATTCTAAGAATGTGGATCAAATGCAAGCATTCTTAAATAGTTTAGGTGCATCCAGGAAAAAGTTGCACCAAGAAATTGTGATGGTTAGGCTTCTGTCAAGGAGACAAACCTAGCTAGCGGTGGAGTCAAACCTGCCAATCAAGTCGCAGCCTGATGACACGTCTTTGATGTCATAAGGCTTTTGTATAAGAGGGAGAGACCACAGAGTGTAGAATCCTCTTTGGCCCTTCGCCTTCTGCCTGAACTGGATCTTGTGTCTGGTTCCTCTATCTCCTGTTGCATTGTCTGCTGATCCAGGAGCAGTCAGACTACTGTTGATGGATTCAATCGGCCGACTTTGGACCTTCACATACACCAGCCTGTACCCCCCTGGTGTCTCTGCTTCATCATCATGGTCTGATTTTCCGATCTCCTATTGCCTCCTGTTCATCAGCTTATAAGGGTTAGGAGCAGTTTGACTTGAACCAGACTGGGCTTACCAATTTCTACAATGGTGTGAGCCATTTCTTGATGTAAATATCTTTCTCTATGCAACACGTACTAGTGTCACTGGTTTCATTTCTCTGAAGAACCCAATCTAATAAAAAATAAACGAAAAATGTTGCCGTTTCCCTGGTACTCTGAGAAGGAGTGGTAGGTATACGGCTATAACCTAAGAAGGTTGGTCTCACTGAGGAAGAAGAGTATCATGGACAATGATGTCTACAAGTGCACATCGTTGGGCTGGATGGGTTGTCTTCTATTTCTAGAATGAATGGCCTAGGCATAAACTCTTTTTGAAAATATACGTGTGTATATGCTCAAAAATGCCTGGAAGATGAGGGGACCAATAGCTTCTCTTGGGAATTGGAGTTAAGAGGAAATTTCTACTCTTACCTTTAGTCTGTTTGGATTTTAAAAAAATAAACTCATGCTAATTTTTAATAGTAACTGTTCATTAAATGAATAGGGAGAAAACACGCTGATTAGCTGTACGGTCTTCATCCTGGAAAGCGAGATTTGAACGAAGTACCATTATCTTTGAATATCATCTAATAGATAGGACCTCAAGAATGTTATTGTCATCAAAATAAAAAATAAAAGAGGGAATATTACAACTGATCTGGTAAAAATAAAGATAACTATGACAGAATATGAACAACTATATTACCATACTGGATAACGTAGATGAAGTAGACAGGTTCTTAGAAACACAGAATATAACTAAACTGACCTTAGAGGGAACAGCATATCTTAGCAGACTCAGAACAAGGGAAGAGATTGAGCGAACTGGTGTTCCAAAACTTCCCAACAAGTCCTGAACCAGAAGACTTCAGTACCAAACATTTAGGGAAGAATTGACCTCAATGCTGTTTCAAAAAGTTCTCTATCTAAAGGAAGGCATGCTCCTGAATTCATTCTATGGAGCAAATATAATCCCGAGAAGAGAAAACTGCCCGTCAATATCACTTTGAATATAGACTCCAAGTTTTCACCAAAATACCAGCAAGCCGAACTCACAGCATATTCAAGGAGCCAGACACCACGAACAAGCAGATTTATTTCAGAAATGCAGGATGGGCTAACATTAGAAAATCAGTCAGAAAAAGAACCACATGATCATCCCTGTGGATGCCTAAAAAGAAATTGCTACAATCCAGCTGTAGCTGTTCTCTGCCTCAACCTGTGAGCTACGCCACCTGTGGGCCAGGCCAGCCCATGGATCCTGTCGCTTGAGCCTGAGGCTCCTTCGAGACTTGCTTCGCCACACTGCTGGTGCATACATCGTACATCACTTGAGCTGGAAGCTGGTGAATTCTGTCGCCTTGCAATGCTTGCATTCGATATCCCATCCGGGGCCTGCTTCACTAAGCTCCCGAGCTA